TTAATTTGTATAATTGATTATTACCTTTGAGGTCACTCTTCCTTCATTTCTTGAAGTTATTAGTCCCTTCTTCATTGTAAGTTTTACCAACCAAGCCTGCTTCTACCATAATTCTTGGTGATTTCAACAATCCTGCATAGATGATCTTTTCAGTACCCTAGCTTACCATTCCTGTCTTTCATTTTACTTCAGCCAATGTTCTCATTGTCATAGTCTTGACCCTGGACTCTCCCTCATTTTACCTTCCTCTCTCTCAGTTTCTGTCACTCAACTCTGATTATTATGACTTATTTTCAACCTCACTTACTGTAATACCCCAACTCCTAACACTCCTTTGATCCCCTCTGGAACCTACAATCTACGGATCCTATTACCTTTTCACTATTCCACATCACTTGAGTTCTTTTCTTCTCTCCTTATCCAGATTAAATTCCATGGTCAATCATTATAGTCATTCCTAAGCAGAAACCCTCAACAGATAATTACTGATTATCTACTATGGGTTGTTGTTCTTGTTAGTTGGATGCAGTTAATTCCAAATATGTGCTAACACTAAACTCTACGTTGTCTTTTTTTCTCTTTCTCCTGCTTCCAGCACTCTGTTCTTTTAAGTGCTCTATCTACCACTTTGCATGAAATTCCCTAGAGATGGATATTCCTGCCTCTAGGGAATAGAGATAGGATCCTGTTAGCCTTTTAAGGAATCTTCAGGCAACCAGAAATCCTCAGTTACAGTGGCTGGATACCACCCTATTTAGGATTTATGCCTGGGGCCCCTACCCTAAAGAAACTAGATTCTTACACTTTCATTATATCTCTAAAATATATCAGCCAATCCACACATCTTGGTGAATACTACTAATTTCCTCGATGGAGATTCAATTTCTAATTAATTGGTAAGATATCTGATGTTGACATAAATATGCATAACAGAAGCAGTTTTGATAACCAGTTCTGGGGTATGGACTTTCTTACTGAAAATCAAACTAAGTCACCCTGGATAGTATATTAGAATGCTAACTGCAGGTGGAGTATAACTTACACCAGTACATGTACCTATTACACTGTTTATGCTGAAATATTTTAAATTAAATTACACACATTGAAAGAATCACTCAACTAGTATTGATGGCACTAGGATTTAAACCAGAAGATTTCCAAAGCCTAAAGCCAACTTTACTTTAATCTAGGCAGTCTGAACAAGTCCATACTATTTCATCATACTGCCAAGCAAGGTTGTTGCAATGGCCAAGTGAGATAATCCCTTCCCCAGGGAATCTGGAACCTGTGGGATAGAAGTTGACCCAGAGGAAGTTTGCTCCTATAAATAAATAGCTACTAAAAACCCACACAGGGGATCTCAATATGAAAGAAGGAACACATCTAGGTAAGTGAGCAATAACAGTACTAGGTTGTCATTCTGGTACAGAGCATGGCCAAGGCTGGAGGAACCTCCTGGCCTGGGAATCTGGTAAACAGGGAAAACTTCAGGAATGATCTTTAAACCTGCCAGTGCCATACTCTTCGATGTTGGAATGTTGTGACGTGGGATGTTGAAGCATGGAGCACTTCCTGGTTAAATGTACTCTGGAAGGAATGCAATCTCTCTCAAAGAATCATGCAGGATCCAAACCAATTGCAAAATTGTCACAGTGGATGAAGACATATTGAACTTTGTAGTTCGGTTTTCAACTACAAAATCATGCTTAATTTATAGATGCAAATCTAGATGAAAAAAAAGTCTCCCTATCTCCCCAAATCTCCCCTAAAATCAACCTCTCCACCCTACACACATATCCACTACTGAATGGGAGAGAGTCTCCTGTTTTGCTTTTGCTTCTTTTGGGCTATGTAACCCTGAAGAGACAACATTGGGAGTGGAGAGGCTTGTCAAGTGAAACTGTATGTCCTAGTAAGCTGGAAAAGTATGAGCTCAAGTAAGCCATGCCCGTTAATAAATAACTTGTGAACCACAGCACTCTTTCTTTCATTTCAACCATGAACTCAATCTCATTCGCATCTCCTGGGCTCAAATGTACATTTTAGATTGAAGATTTTTCTAACCTATTACTTAGTAGTTTTAAAAGCTGAAAACTTGAAAGTCAAAATGTCCTACATCAAAATGGAATGTCACAATAATCAAGTCAAAATGGCAAATATCCATGTAATCATTTACAAATGTTAATATAAAATGTAACATCACCTCATATAAACTGACAGCATACAGTAATCTTTATTTGCCTAGTATGTACAGATACTGAGTAAACCAAAACAATTGGTTAGCTCATATAGCAAAATAATGGCAGGCATAGGCCTAGAACCTAAATCTACTAGTCCAGAGGAAAAGAAGACGAGAAAACTTTCTCTAAGGGTTAATATGAAAAATTTTCTCCGGAAAACACCTAGCATAAGGTTTCGTGCAGCACCATGCACTCCTACAGAATTAAATAGTTATTAGTTGAATCCCTCAGTGTTGTAAAGTAGTAGCTTTTAGAGATTGACTTTGTCTTAATATGAAGAAGACGTTTTTGTTTTTACCTTTGTTTTTGTTTTCTAAAACTTAGCTTACCAGACTTTTAAGTTAAGGAGTTCTTGGAAATATTCAAACAAGTTATGGATGGATGATTTGTTTGGAAAGCCATAAGGAAATTACATTAGTTGAGTGATTGTATAGGATGTATTCTAAGCCCACTTATAACTGTGAATTTTTGAAGTAGTGTGCTTAGCCCAGAAATGTCTATTGAACATCAAATAAACATTGGGGACTATAAAGAACCCTATGGCTGGCGGTTCAAACCCACCAGCCACTCCTCGGAAGGAAGGTTGGGCAATCCTACTTCCGTAGTGATACTGCCTCGGAAACCCAAGGAGGGGTCGCTATGAGTCGGGGCCAACTCGACGGCACATAACAACAACAACAACATGGCTCCTTATTATTAAGGCAGACATAGCCTCTGGCCTCAGGGTACTAGTAGTCTGACAGGAAAAGTATTAAGCAAGTCATTTAAGGATTTAACTAGAGAATTAAAAGTGTAGCAACTATTGTAAAAATACATAGATGCAGATAACAAGAATATTTCATCTAGTCCCATGGGTCAGGGTTTACCTCCCTGAGGAATTGATACTTAATCTGTTACTTGTAAGATTTAAGTGGGCAAAGAAGTGGACACAACATTCCAGGTGAGGGTAGAGTATACAAAAGTACTAAGAATGTGGGAGGCAAGGAGTTGGAGTAGATAGAGCAAGGGGAAGATTGGTGTGGCTTGAGCCTAAAACGAAAATCAGAAGCCAGATTATACGTGGATTTGAAGATCATATTAACAATTTGATCTTTATATAAGAATAATAGGAAATCATAGAAAGACAAAGAAGTTTTTAAAAATTATTTTAGCTACAATATAGAGACCAGTTTAGAGGAAAGCAAGAGTTTTCTATGATAGCATACCAGTTAGACTTTTCATTGCAAGGATAGAAAGGTGAGTGAAAACAAAAAGAAATGAAATATTTGGCTTTACCTTGCTACAGTAATCTTACTGAAAAAATAACATGCATGTACATATGGCACATAATTCAAAATAATATAACTGTAAACATAAATGAGACAACTTAAAATAAATGCTAACTGTACATAAATCAAGAACGATTCCCTTATTAAGTGCAAATATATTTTTTAATGTTTAGATTGTCTGTAGTTTAAATGGGTAAAAAACAAAGAAATACCTGATATTTATTATCTATTAATTTATTACTAACTCAGACCTCCTAAAGTGTTCTAAATTTATTTATAAAATATTAAATTATCGTATTGTTTAGTGTTTAATAGTCAATTATAACCTGAAACCTTTTTAACATACATATCTAAGTGTGCCTATGTGTCAATGTAT